TACATATGGAGCATCTGCAGTGCACTGCGGGCTGAACACGAGCCAGAGCAGCTCTGTGAGGGGCATCCACATGGAGCAGGGTTCCAAAGGCCCATCCACTGTGGTCACAGCAGTGCTCCAAGATTCCTCTGTTCCCAGGCTGGGTGACATACACCCCCCAAAGGTGACTGTCCTGGCACGACACCCACCCAGAGGGAGCAGCCCTGGGCTGGAGGAGGCAGCAGAGGAGCCATCAAACCTCATGGAAGCCCCAGCCATGGACACTGTCAGCATCCTGGGAAGCCAGCAGGTAAGCCCAGACAGGATTTGGGACACACAGAGGGTCAATGCTCAGCCTTGCTCTCACTCCAGAATAATTTCCATCAGGGAGGCACAGCATCACCCACACACTGCCCCCAAAACAGGCAGATCCATCCTGGCCCAAAAGGCTTAACCACCCCACTGACTTGGCTCTGTTTTCCAAGTCACCTCGAAGCTGAGGTTCTTCAGGACATCTGCAGGGAATAATTATCCCCAAAAGCCAGAGCCTTGCCGTGCTTATTCCTGGAATGCTGGTCCTGCACCAGGAGGGCTGGAATCACTGCTACCCACTAAACCACTACTAAATCACACTGGTTTAGAGTCAGGAGCTTCTTGAAGATGCTGCAGGGAGGAGGGTCCCAAACCACCAGCAGGACCCTCAGTCCCAGCAGCGTGGCCTGACTGGCCCAGCACCACCCGGCCCCACAACAACCCAACTCCCACGGGCTTTTCCCAGGAGTTTTCCAAGCCCACACACATCCCAGAGCTCACCCAGCCTCAGCCAGGGCAATCACACCAGTGCTAATGCAAACTGTGCCACGGCCAGACGGTGTCTGGGAGGAGCTCCTGGTTCTCCTTAACCCAAGAGCTAACAAGGGTTTTTGATCCGAGCTCCCTCCCCACCCAGACGGCCCCGGGAGGAGCCACCGCACACAAAATTCCTGATTTCCCTCAAGTGCTGTTGGGATCAAAGCGAAATGTGAGACACACACACAGAGGGGAAAGATATCTCGGGGTCAGTCAGCTGTTGAGCTGCAGAGCAGCGTGGTTGATGGTGTCAGGGCAGAGCAAGGAGGGGACAGTCGGGATGCTCCGGTACCTGCCCAGCCATTCCAGCCCTCCTCGTGCAGCACCAGCACTGCAGGAACAAACACTGCAAGACTGTGGCTTTCTGGGCTAATTGTTTCCCTGGGAAGCCTCATGCAGATGTCCCAAAGAACAAGAGGAAATCCACTCCCACTGTCCCCTTTCCATACTTTCCCCCCCACAGAGGTGGGGACCAGAGCAAACATCCTGCTCCGCCCGGTCCCAACCTGTGTCCCGGACTCCTGAGCAAGCCCCAGAGCTGCTCCTCTGCCCTTCAACACCGAAGACTCCCCCTCCAGACCCCCCTCAAGTGCTGGAGCCAGTCTGCAGAGCTCAGCTGGAGTCTTGAATTTCAACTCCAGCTGGTCAGAGCGTTTTTACCACAATTAAGTATAATCAAATCACGGTGTTTTCGCTCTGACCTGAGCTGTTCCACAGAGATGCCCTGGTTTGAACTCCCCTGGTTTGAACTCCCCTCTTAGACAGGCAAGACTTGGATGTCTAGGTTTTTTCCAAGCTGGAGCAACAGGAGATGAAGATACTCAAAACATTCGTGTTTTTCCACTCAGCTGCTGCCATTCCTCCAATTCTTTCTGCAAAAGCACTCAAAGGTTTGTTTTTTAAACTCAGAGTGCAGCAAAGAGCAGCATCCTGGGCAGCTTTGCTTTGAACCCTCCTGTGAGGAGCTGATGGGAAACAAGTCCTGGAGCTAAATTCTCAGACTGGGAGCTCAGAAATGGTTCCCAGGGTGGCAGGAGCAGGTTCTCAGGCCTGGGTTTTTTTTGCAGGGCTTCCCAGAAGCCAGGTGGGCAGGTGGAGTGGGTGAGCTGAAAGGGACTTCCCCAGACCTCAGGAGAGGCCTGACCTTCGACAGGGCTCGAGGGAAAACAAAGTTTTGGAGGTAAATTTGGTCCGTGCTCTCTACAAAAATCCTGCCAGTGCTCAGCAGACAGGATATACAAGAACCAAGACGTGGGAAGAGCAGCAAGTCCGTGGGACACGACAAAAAAAGTGGGTTTATCAAAGCAAGTGAAGCAGCTGCCAGATGCCAAAATCAGAATCACATCCACCCTGAGCAACACTTTTGACCCACCTGAGAGCTCAGTAACTCAAGGTCACCTCGTTTTCCTCAACAACACCCCCTGGACAGGTCTCCACCAGTCTGGAGAAATCAGATCCACCACGCAGGGAGAGGCTATCCTTTGTTTTCCAGCCCTCTCCAGCCCCCAAAACCACACACAGCAGCCAGGCTGAGCCCACCTGCCACGCCAACAGCACCCTGGTGAGCCGTGGGGAAGAGGAGGGTTGCTTCATTAAAGGAATAAGCTCTGCAGCAAAGGATCTCAAAGAGGGGAGTCCCAGGAAGAATCAATCTGCTGCCTGGCACCAGGAAGGGTTCACAGAGCAGGGGATAAAGATAAGCCACCTATATTTTTATGGACCTGCAATTTAAGCACAGAGGAAAGAGTTGGGACATGCCCAGCTTTTGGCACCTCCAGCCCCCTCGCACAACAGCTTGGGAGCAGCACCAAAAATCCTTCTGGTGGGGCTGCACTTGAGGGAATGATCAGAGACACGTCCACCTGCCCCAGCTCTACGGCAAACTCAGGGTACTGGGACGAAAACTTGATCCCTCTTCATCTCCCAGTGGCCTTAAGGGACATCAGAGAACGGAATCACAGCATGGTTTGGGTTGGAAGGGACCTCAAGGACCATCCAGTCCCACCCCTTCCCATGGGCAGGGACACCTTCCACTGTCCCAGGTTGCTCCAACCTGGCCTTGGACACTCCCAGGGATGGGGCAGCCACAGCTTCTCTGGGCAGCCTGTGCCAGGGCCACCCCACCCTCACAGGGAAGAGTTTCTTCCATGTTTCTTCCATGTATTGAACCTCAGTTTCTCCTCTTTCAGTTTGAACCCACCACTCCTTGTCCTGTCACTGCAATTCCTGATGCAGAGCCCCTCTCCAGCTTCTTGTAGGCCCCCCCTTCAGCTCCTGGGAGGCTGCTCTGAGGTCTCCCCACAACCTCTTCTCCTTCATCCTTCACCACAAACAGGAACCTCCCCAGCTCACATGCAGAAAGAGCCTCCTCAAAACCACAGCAGGAGAGAGAAACCTCCCAAATATTTGCTCAGGTTTAACTGAAACAACCACAGACACTCATCTTTCTCCTGCCTCCCTCCCCACTAGGTGCATGGAAGGAGCAGGGCTGACACCTTCCAAGTTCATTATAAAATATTATATATATATATATATTTTAGAAAGCCTCCAGTGCTCTTCCTGCTTACAAACCCCACTCTGGGAGCCCCTCTGCTGATCCAGCTCCCTCCCAAGCCCCAGAGTTGGGTCATTTACCCCTGTCAGCGTTCACAGCTGGAAAAAGGGGTTATGGCCTCTCTGCTGCACATCCAAGGGGAGGAGGGAGCCAAACCCGCCTGTTTATTTGTTGTCTGTGCAGAATTCCTGCATTCCTTCCCATGTTTGCTCATCTGCTCTCAGGACATACTCAGAGCCCAGCAAAGGGCTTTGGGGGCACCACATTCTCCCCCCCTGGGCTTGGAGCTCTTGCTGGAACCAGGACAAGCATAAAGAGGGGAAGAGGGAAGGCAGGCAGTGGGTTATTACAGAATATTTTCAAGGTGGTTGAGGAAAAAGGGAGAAAAAAAGATCAATTCTCCCCAGATCTGCTTTTCACAGAGGCACAACTCCACACCTGGATGTCTAAGACTGGTTCTAACTTATTTTTACCTTGGAGAAGCACGATTTACCTCCAAGCAGAATTTGTCTGGCTTCTCAGATCCCTTCAGGAGTTCATCCACAAGGCTCCAAGCAAGCAAGGAAGCTCCAAGACACAGGAAGTGGCTGTGATGAAGAATAGGCCTTCACCACAGCATTAACCCGTTAACTTATTAGCTCTAAACCCACGGGGAGAATCTAACTCAGGTGGGAGCAGCCTAAATTCCCTGGGAAGTGCCTGCCATCCTGTCAGGACAGGACCTGCCGTGGGGATGCTCCAACCACAACGCAGAGAGGACTGGAAACGCATCAGATCTGGAGTAAAATGAGCGTAAAATGACTTTGCTTGGGAGCCACTGGTTGTGTGACAGCGAGGTCACTGCCAGGCACTGTCCCCATGACAAGAGTCCACAGACCAGAGCACCAGGAACTGGGATTAGCTCAGCTGGTCACAGCATGGTGCTGATAACACCAAAGCTGTGGGTTTGATCCCTGTAAGGGCCATCCACTCAAGAGCTGGACTCGATGGTCCTTGTGGATCCCTTCCCACTCAGAATATTCTGGGATTGTGTCCTTCATTTCACAGCTTCATCACATTCCACCTCTACCTGTCCAACATGCAGATGGGAGGAACGAATCAGACTTACTGGAACCTGGAACTTTCTGTGACTCTGCCCTGGACACAGGTAGAACAGCAGGGTTGATCCTCATCAACCAGCACCAACGAGGTCACAGAATCCCAGAACCCCCAAGGATTATCAAGACCAACCCTTAACTCTGCACAGGTCCAATTCCCAAGAGTGTCCAAGAGGCATCATCCAAAGAGATGACAGATCTTGAGCTCTGGCACCCTTGGGGCCGTGCCCACTGCCCTGGGGAGCCTGTTCAGCGCCCGACCACCCTCTGGGGGAAGAACCTTTTCCTGAGATCCAACCTAAACCTTTCCCTGGCACAACTTTGGGGTTCTGCCACAGAGCAGAGCTCAGTCCCTGCCCCTCCTCTTCCCCTCATGAGCAAGTTTTAGCCTGCAAAGAGGTGTCCCCTCAGCCTCTTCTCCGGCCTGAGCACACCGAGCACCCTCAGCCGCATCCATGAATCCCTCCCAGCCCAACAGCTCCAGGATCACCCCCGGGACATCCCAGGCCCCTCAGCCTCACCTTCCACGCAGTGCTCCACCTCCTCCAGGTTGCGCAGGGTGATCCTCATGAGGCTGGAGTTGAGCATGAGCTCGTTGCGGTGGGCGGGCCACAGGTACTGCGGGGCCGGGTTGACGAAGAAGATGCGCGTGTCCCCCGTGGACACCTGGTTGTCGCAGATCAGCGGGTCCCCGAAGCCGCCGATGACCACCTTGTTCCCCCCGTCCAGCAGGATCTCGTGGGTGACGATGTCCTTGCCCTTCAGGTAGCGCCAGACTCTCACCTTGGGGGGAGAAGGAGAAAGGAGAAGCTCGTGAGGGCGTCTCGCGGGCGGCGCTCTCCAACCCGGCTCGATTTTTCACGGCGCTGCCGCGGGACGGGCTTTCCAGCAGGGATCATTTCATCAGCTCTGAAAGCACGGAATGTGTGGGCAACGGGGAGCGAAAGCCCTCTGCTGCAGGTCTCCCTGGCTCCCGAGGCAATCTCAGTATGGAGGGAGAAGAAAGCACTTCTGATTGGGAAAAATAAAAAGGCTTTGAAAGGAACGTTAAGTGGCTGGAAGTGCCAGCTGGGGAAGGGCTGCGGAGCTGAAGAGAGCGCTGTCCATCCACGGGGGAGGCTCTGAAGTGCAGCACAGGAGCCTCAGACTGGGGCAGGAGGAGGCAGGTGGGTTGGGTGGAGGGAAAGAAGGGAGTCTGGTGGCTCTGACAGGCCGCTGGTACCTTGGGAACACAAAGGCAGAGCGGATAATGTTGCACACAGAAATGTCAAAGTTAACTCACGTTCCTCTAAATTACTAAATAAAACCATGGCAAGCTGGATTTGGTAAAATGCACAGAGGGTTTGGCAGGAGGAGCCCATCTCCCTGTACTCATCCAAACTTCAGGCATAAAAATAAGTCCTGGCCACAAGAGTTAGCAGCCACTAACTGCCAGTGGTTCCAGGGCAGTGCCCCTGCGCTCCAGTGCCAGCTCATCCCTCTCTCTGCAGCAAACTGCCCAAAAGAAACACCCACCCAGGAGGGAAGCAGCAGCTCTCAAATGAACCTTGGTGCACACAGGACACCAGAGGCACGTCCCCATCCGCTCCTGCTGGGTCAGAAATCCCCCTGCTGCGATTCCATCGTGGGGAAACACGGCCCAGAGCAGAGCCAGCAGGAACAGCTCATCCGAGGTCTGTGCTCAGAGCAAGGGTGGCTGCTGGGAGCAGGGGCACTGCTGTGACCACAGGCATCCCAGGGCTGGCAGGCTCAGAGCTGCTCCATCACACCCTGCCATCATCTCCCCCCAGCCCCAAGGGCAGTTCAGCACCCCGTGCCAAGCCCAGAGCAGCCAGGGAGGTGGTGGCTCAGAGATAAGGGGGCTCTCTGCTTTAAGAGCCCGATTCCAGAGAGGCAGAGGGTGGATGCTCACAGGCAGCTGGGCAGACAGGTCTCTCCCACCCTCTGGGGTCACTGGGGGTGGCAGGGAGGCAGATTGTTCACACCACAGCTTCTGTGCTTGACACTGGGGTTGGGAATGGGGGGAGAATTGTTACAGCCGAGGAGGAAAGCACAGAGCAGACTTTATCCCACTTGAGAACGAACCATTTCTACAGTTCTCTGCAACTGCAGCTCAGTGGCCTCTGCCCTGCACGGCCCTTCAAGTGCATTGTGCTCCCCTGCAGGCTTCTGTGAGATCCTTCAGACAGAGAGACTCTTCCTCTGCCAAACACCTCCATCCCATCACTCGGTGACTGCAGAAGACACACACGAAGATGTGACACTGCAGAGTTCAAACAGGAGGGTGAAAGCCTGCTGGGGGGTAGAGGGAATGCAAGTCTCCTGACCTCTCATCAATCCTGTCCATTTTTGAAGCCCTAACTCCAGAATTTCAGGGGAGTGAGCTCGGCACTCAGTCCTGATCCAGAGGCTTCAAGGTCCACAGTGATCTTGAGCCAAAGTCCTGCTCACTGTCCCTGCCACAGTTAGGAGCAGGCAGCTACAGGGAGACATTCCCTGGAGGAACAGGGCCATTCCCACTGCCACAGGAGCAGGCAGGCTGGGGTCAGACCCTCCTGCTCAGCGCCAGACTCACCTGTCAAGCAGGAAAAGGGAACAGATTTAGTGTTGCCTGTACTCTGCAAGTACAAATGAAGGTTAAGAACAAAGTTTAAGAATGTATTTCATTCTCAAATCCTCCTATTTCTCACACCTCCTCCTCGAGGTGTGACATTTGTCCTCCTTGGAGGAGAAGCCTGGATTTATGGGCCTCAGCTCCCATCCAGCCCAGCAAGTCCTGCGATGCAAACAGCAATATATTATCCAAACTGCAGCTCCATTTACCGGGGTGAGCCCTGTTCTCCTGCATGCCTGAGCTCAAAAACCACCCCGGGTATTAAACAGGGCTGTGACAGCTCCTCTCTGGAAGCTGCACATGCCTTAGCTGCTCCCAGGCGTGGAGAGGTTTGCTGCAGACAGGTTACCCACGTGTTCTCACACTCATCCGTCTGCCAGCCCGAGGGGAGTCAGCACCCCGTGGGTGCCGAGCCATTCCACAGCACCAAAGCTCAGGGAATAACTCACACTCCAGGATATGTGAGCCCTGCCCAGCCCAAATCCAAGCTGCTGGGCAGGGGGAAGGAGAGGGACAGGGAGAGCAGTGCCTTCAAAGCCACGGGGGGTTGGAATGAGATGGTCTTTAAGGTCTACAACTTCCTCAGGAGGGGCAGGTCTGATCTCTGCTCTGACCAGTGACAGGATCCAAGGGAATGGCTGGAGCTGTGGCAGGGCAGGGTTAGGTTGGGTATCAGGGAAAGGTTTAGGTTGAGTATCAGGGAAAGGTTCTTCCCCCAGAGGGTGGTTGGCACTGAACAGGCTCCCCAGGGTTTGGGCACAGCCCCAAGGCTGCCAGAGCTCCAGGAGGGTTTGGACAACGCTCTGAAGGACAGGGTAGGATTGTTGGGGTGTCTGTGCAGGGCCAGGGGTTGGACTGGATGATCCTTGTGGGTCCAACTCAGGATATTTTGTGATTCTATGACTCTAAGATCCCTTCCAACCCAAACCACTTCACAGTTCTCTGAAGAAACCTGCACAGCCCTGCCAGCACCAGCTCCGCTCTTGAGAGAGGTGGCACCCCACCAGCACTCAGATGGCGAGGGGAGCTGGGACAGGCAGCTTCCCTCCCCTCTGATCCGACAGGGATCCCACCATCCACACTGACATCTGCTCCACCACACGGGGCAGCCCCTTCAAAGAGCCTTTTTGGGGCCACCCGCAGCCGTGGCACCCCGGCTGAGCAGGGTGCTGAGGAGCACCAGCCTGTGCCAGCACCAGCCTCCTGCCTCCCCAGCAGGGACCAGCTGTTCCTCCAGCGTTTCCCAGCAGCTCGGCTCCCCGCGGTTGTGCTTCTCTCCCCGCAGTCAAGTCAAGACACCTTCCTGCAGCCCCACCTCCTCCTCCTCCTCCTCCTCCTCCTCGGCGCCCGCAGGGCAGGCGCTCTGAGAGGTGCACGAGCAACCAGGGTGAAAAACCGGCAATACAAAGGAGACAAAAGGGAGGAAAGGGAAAAAAAAAAAATAATAATAATAAAAAAAAATACAAAATACACCAGGCAGGCAGAAAGCACAGCCCGAGGCTGGTGCTGCAAAAGGTGGATGTGGGGCATTTTCACAGCTAGGGCTGAGGGGGGGGAGAAAGGCTCAAGCCCACCCCACTGCTCTGCAGCAGATGGTAATTTGAGTTAATTGGCACGGCTGTTCCAGTCAGACACTTCAGAGCCAGGCCACAGCACTCACCAGCAACATCAGAGTCCAGCAGCTTTCTCCCCACCCTTCTCCTCTATAATGAATGAATGGGAAGGCACCAAAGACCAAGCAATTACCTGTAGGGCATCCCATTCATCATCACACACAATTAAGACTTTGTCACCGGTGACTCACCGGCTACACCAAGGACTGGGGAAGGAAAGGAAGAGAAAGAGAGAGAGAAAACTGGGCTGTAACCTATTCCCAAGAAGTCCCTTCCCTATAGCAGGCTCACTCACCCACTCCTTTGCCAGGGAGCGCATAAAACACTGGATTAAGACTGTTTTACAAGACTCCTGGCAGCTACAGGGAGGCAGAGTAAGAGCAGTGATAACTTTATCCAAGCAGAGCCCTGCAAGGGTGTATTTTAAGTGGGGCAAAAAAGCCCCCAGAAAGTAAAAGGATTTTTCCAGAATGCCATGGGGGGGGTCCGTGCCACAGGGAAAAGGGGAGCACCTGTGCAGTGCTACCAAATTCCTGCCAGGAATACGCCTCGAGAAATGGTTTTGTAAAGCAAGATGAGAAGTTAGAGCAGTCTCCTCTTGCAGATGTCTGGATGGACAGCAGGAGGAAGGGTCATCATTAGATTTTTGGCAGTTCTGGGAGATGAAGGCCAGCATCAGCTTCACTCTGCCCAACCCTTCCCTCCCTGACCACATCCCACCCCTCTCCCCCTTTTTGTCACTCTCAGCTGCCCTTTCCCCAGGAGCTCCCAAACCCACCTCCCCCAGCAACTTCCACATCCCCCCCAGCCTGGAGAACAGCCGCAGTTACCCCCCAAAATAGGGGCTCCATTGTTTGGAACAGGATCCACATCCTTTTCGACACTTCCTATGGCACACACAGAACCTGGGCTTGTCCTATAAATAGGAGCTGCCTTCATAAATAGCAGGTCAGCCCAGAATAAGGCACATCAGAGGGCTCAGAGCAGGAAGGACAAGGCCAACACAGAGGATGAGCAGCAGCACCAAGAGCTCGGGAAGCAGAGTGCCTGTTCCCTTGTCAAACCCCTCGGAGCAGCAGCACATCAGCCACTTCCAGGGCGTTCTGTCAGCCTGTTCTTCCCTTTTTCATCTCCTCTCCCAGCACATGAATGGCTGATAGCTATTTATGGGTGTTTATCTAACATTAACTTCACATTTCTCCCGAGTTGTAATGTGCTTATCTTCATCTATCAAAGGCTTCAGCTGGGAGGGTTTGGAGTTTAACTGGGAAGAACAATACCCCAGTGCAGCACTCGCAGATATCCACATGCCTGCTCCCTCCCAGACCACCCAGCACCAGTAACACTCACTATTTTGGGTGTGGGCCCCAGGGAACTCCCACCACACACTTGGCCCTTGCCTCTCCTCTGCAGATAAAGAAGAACCTGACAGGAGATAACTGCGGGATCTGGAGGTAACCCCAGGGAATGACAGTGAGGAATTACACCTGAATTTCCTCACCAGCCTCTGTTCCTGGGCTTATCCCAGTCCCACAGGGCAGCAGGGTCCGTGTGAGGGCAGAGCTCAGGTTTAGTGCCCAAACTGCCCTGTTGGAATTAAAGTGCTTGGTGTCAAAAAAACCAAAAAAAAACAAAACAAAACAAAACAACCAACCCAAATCAAACTCCAGGCATGCCTAACCTGGCATCAGCAGAATCCAGAGCAATTCCAACAGTCTGGGAGATCTTGGAGTGAAACAAGCCAACAGCTGCTGCAGAGCTACTCATTTACAAGTCATTATAGTTTAGGGGAGATTTATCTGCTTTCAGGTCCTTAAGACACCCCAAGTCTGATTTCAAAGCTTTTTTTTTTTCCTGCAAACACACTATGAAATGCCATTAAAAATGCCACAGAGCAGGCTGATGTGCAGGTAAAGGGCCTGAGAACCACTGCCCTATGAAGGGTGCTAAATGTCACAGCCTGACCAGGGATGGGATGGGCACTTCCATCTAAGGCAGGAGAGAAGGTTTTCCTCCTTTCACTTTCTCTTACAGGACTCCAGGACTGAAAGGGGATCTTGGGAGCACGTTCTGGCCTTCAGGTGCTGTTATAACACTAGGAATGGGCAGGAGCAAAATCCCACCATTAACTCTGGAGTGAGTAGCACAAGCATTGCTGGGGTGGCTCAGGGAAAGGCAAGAGATTCCCTTGCCGAGATAAGGAATGCCAACTGCGTTTCACAAAAAGCCACCGCAGGCAGCCCAGGTTCCCTCCCTGGCTGCTCCAGCTCGGGCTGGATGGATTGCACCTTCCAAAGGCAGAGAGAGCTGCTGAGCCAGCAGGTTTTCCCATCGCGGCGTTTCCTGGCCCAGGGTCTCGCTCTGATGCGGCGAGATGGTTTTACACCAGCCAGAGACACCTCGCTGCGTGTCTGCGGTGCGAGCGAAGAGCCTCGTTTTTCAGACGGGCATTTCTGCCTCATCACCGGCCTCCCTGGACCACCTCCCTCGTGGCACCCCTGCCCCAGCCTCAGGTGGCCACATCCACCCACCATCTGTGCCCGGCGCTGCCGCAGGACACCGGCTGCGAGCAGCAGCTCATTAATTTTCCACGTAGCACCCAGGATGTGCCAGACACTCCGCAAACATACGGTCCCTGCTCGAGCCTGGAGGGTCTGTGATCTAATTTGCGAGGTACAGATTGTTCCGCGCGGGGCAGAGCGGGCGGGAGGCACCGGGCACCAGCTGGGCAGGCAGAGGCTGCTCGGCTGCTTCCCTGGGCTCAGAGAGATGCTCCGGAACACGGGGCAACACCGCGGCGTGAAGTTCGCCCTCCCCTGCCCCGGCAGAGCTCTCCCACCAACGCACCGCTGAGCATCACCCCAGGCCCTGCTTAGCGCCAAACCACAGGCAGGAACCGCAGGATTTATTTTTTTTTAAGGATGGGCAGAAAAGGGGATGGGGGGGGGGGAGAAGAGGAAAAGGCAGCGTAGCAGCATGTCCTTGCAAGTGAGATTCCTGCCCCGGGAAGGGTTAAGCCATCCAGCACGTTTTCTGTCAAGCAGGCGGATGGTATTTCAGGTTGCTCAGTACTTCACCGTCTCTCAGCTTAGGGGGGAGGAAAAAAAAAAAACCCATAGCCAGAGGCCAGATTCGTAGTTAAACAATAGCTCGAGCTGGAGGAACTCAAGATGCTGCTAAAGTAAACAGGGAGCCCTGGGGTAGAGGCAGCGAGCGGCTCCGAGCACCTTCCCGGCAGCCCGAACCCTGCCAGAGAGAAAGTTGGGAACCGGCTCCCGCATCACGGCACGGAGGGAAATGCCCATAAAAAGCAACCTTGAGAGATTCCCCCTCGACACAGCTGCGGGAGCGACTCCGCAGTCTAAAAATACCTAATTACACCCCAAAGCCCCGGCGCACACAATCAGAACCACATGCGCCCTAAACCCGGCCGGCGCCCGCCGGGAGAGGGGGGAGGGGGTGAAAGTTCCCCCCGGCACCCCCTTACCTTGCAGGAGTAGGTGTGGTGGACCGGGTCCACGTTCATGATCTCCTCCACCGTGCCCGTCAGCACCACGTTGGCCTCCTCCTCCCTCCGCTCCAGCTCCCGCTCGGGGCAGGTCGCCAGTCCCAGTCCTAATCCCAGTCCCAGCAGCGCCAGCAGCGCCCGGGCACCGTCCGCCCGCTGTGCCCCCATGGCCCCGGTCCGGTCCCGCTGCCGGCCCGGTCCCGGTCCCCCGACGGCGCGGGCAGACAAAGCGGCCCCGCTCGCAGGCGCAGGGAGAAGGGCTACTTTTGTTCGAGGAGGTGAAAAGGAGGAAAGAAAGAGAGGAGGGAGGGAGGCAGCGAGGGGAGGGGAGAGCAGGGGAGGGGAGAAGGAGGAAAATCCCAGGAGGAGGAGGAGGAGATATCTCTCCGTGAAGCCGCGGCCGGCGAGCAGCGCTCGGTCCTCTCTGCCTTGCCCCTGTAAGAAAGCCCGCAGATTTGCATGCAATCTGAATTGCTGATAAGGAAGGGAGCGGGGGCAGGGGGGGAGAGGAGAGAGGGAGGGAGAGAGAGAGAGAGAAAGGGAGGAAGGCAGCGCGTCCGCCCGCCCTGCTGCCAGCTCTTATTGCGGAGCTGCCGCGAACGCCACCCCCAGGAAAAGGGAGCTCGCCTCGGGTTAATGGATAATCAGCGCCGCAACGTGAGGAGACTTTTAAAGGTGTAGGGACCGCAGCCGGCCCCGCTGCCCCCCCAGTATGAGCGACAGCTGGAGCCCAGCCCCGTCCCGGGGTCCCCTCCCCCGCGGGGGTCGGACCCCGGCGTTTCCACCCCCCTGTTTCGCCCCTGGGGGCTGCCACCAGGGATGCTCCCGGTTTTCCCGTGGGGAAACTGAGGCAGGGTTGGTCCTGCTCCGGAGAGATGCGACGAGTGCTCCATGCCGGGGCAGACCGAGCCACCCGCGCCTGGGCCATCACCCGCTCCCCGGGGTTCCCAGGGGGAGATGGTGCTCGGGGAGAGGGGCTCGGGGGGCACCCCGACCACAGAGCCACCCACCCTCCCGTGGAATGATGGAATCGCGGGATCACGGAGTGGTTTGGGTTGGAAGGGACCTTAAAGATCACCCAGTCCCACCCCCTGCCGCGGGCAGGGACACCTTCCACTAGCCCGGGTTGCTCCAAGCCCCGTCCAGCCTGGCCTTGAACACTTCCAGGGAATGGGGGGTGTCTGCCCCTGGAGCACCGTGACCTCCCGCCCCGGCTTTTCCTCGGGGAACTGGACGGCAATTTTTCCAGATGTCACGTGCAATTACTGCAGATATAAAATGAAAAGTTAAGTGGCACCAGGGGAGGGATATTGTTTCTCCCCTCCATAAATTAGCCGGCCCCCAGAGGCGATTTACAAGGCTGTTTTACTTGATGGCCCTAAACAAGTCCCGTTTGTGACCCAGGGTGAATTCCCAATCTCAGGGTGAAGTTTAACCACTGCCAGTGCCACCCTGCCAGGAGAGGGATGACACATGATGTGCCCCCTGTGTCCTTCCCCGATGAACGTGTTTCAACACACAGCAGCATCCTGCCCTCAGCAGCTCTGCATCCCCATCCTGCTCATGCCCTAAATTCTGAGCAGCCTGTTTGTGCTGTTTGCTCCTGCATCTGTGGATGTGCCAATCCTTTTTGTCTCCCCTGGAACAGAAACAGAATTTAGCTACGAGATAGGAATAAATGAATCTGAGTGCTCAAAACGCTGTCCAAGCCTACCTTCTACCCTGAAGAGGATGAAACACCAGAGATCACATGAACCTGGAGGTATCCCAGCTGCTGGGTGGTTCACAGAGAAGGCAAACTGTGCATTTTCTGTCTTAAACCAGGCACTTGGCATTCCCACGGCGACTTTGTCTCAATGCTGGGGCTGTTCTCGTAAACCCCACGCCCTCTCCCAGCTCTCATTCCACTCAAAGCTCCCATTTCTGCCCCATAAATCTGGGTTCCCAGCTCAGCACTGAAGGAAGGCTGCCTGTTCCAAAGCATGAATTATTTTATCACCTCGGTGAGGGCTTCAGGGAGATGGTTTTCAGAAGAAAGTGGCCCACAGTGCACTCAGGCCTGCAGGAAACCTGCCTTCACCTGGCAGGGTGTAACTCCCCCAAAGCTGCCTGTAAAACCCCAGGGACCATCCTGTGACAAGAAGGTGCCACGGGGCAAAGTGACCTGAAGCAGGATACACAACATCACGTTTTGATACCAAAATACTTCCCCAAAAAGTGTGATTTCCGGCTGAGCTGCAGTGGGAAGACTCCATCCATCCCAAGCCAGTCCCAGGCCCTGCAATCATCCCTGTGGAGGTTCCTCACAAAGGGTTCCATTACTACATCACTGCTCCTACAAACTCCAGCAATCAGCTAAAAATATTTCACGCTGCCTGGCAGATTATTTTTTTTTCCCCCTGTTTTAATTATTAATTTTTATTGTATTCCTCGAGCGCTGCTCGACTGTAAATCACAGGAACAACCTCAGCTCGGGGCTGGAAGAAACCAGCTGTGACACTCTGCTCCAGCACTTTGAGGAGAGGAGAGGGGAAGAATTATTTACACTGTGTTTGTACTATTTTCTGTTTGTTAGTTCTCTCCTTTTAGCCCCACCCCACCATCTGCTTTCAAAGCTGTGAAGGGAAAAATGGATTTCACAGGCTTTTTTTTTTTTTTTTGATGTATTTGCCCCCAATCTGGTGGGTTCTTTGAGTGGACTTACTCAGCCTTGTAGGTTTTTTTGGGGGAGGTGAGACACGAGCAGCCTGGGATCCCAATCTCCTCTTGCAGGTTTAACAGAGTTCAAAAAAGAGAAGGGTTTTCCAAAGGAAAGCAGGAGAGGGAGAGCAGCTATTATTTCCTTCTGCCAAACTCTGAAAAAGCCCTCTGTATAAATTAAACAATGAAAAAAAAATGCTATTTTCAATTCTGTGTCATTACAGTCAACAGAATCATAATAATGCACCTAAAATTTGCGTCCACAACATATCAGGGATACATTTTTGGGAAAAGAGAAAAATGAAAAAAATATGACATTCTAAGCTTGTTAAAAGGGTAATGGCCCCGTATTTTTTATTACAGGTTAGCAAAACCAAATCCAGTGGATTACAATAATTACATGTTATTTGAAAAATTAAGTAGTGAGCACCTTTTTAGGGACAACCTGCACATCCCCACACCTCACACTGATAAGAGGAGAAACAGGCCAAGAAACTGATGGTTCTGTGGGAAAACTGGGAAAAACTCTTTGGCAAATCATTGCACAAAATAAATAAACTTTGTAACTGGCAAAAACCACCCCAAAACCCCGGGCTTTGTGCCGGCCCTCCACGGCAAACCCGGGCCCGGCAAAAACTCCCCTGAACTCGTGTAGAGGCAGCTCTGAAAAAATCCAGATATCCTGCAAAACCCACAAGGAACGACAACAGCGTTTGCTGTGAGGAGTTTGGACGGAAATTCCAGGGTTTTTTTAAGGGGGGGGGAGGGCTGAAATTTGGGGAGAGGAGAAGGGAGGGGGTGCTCTGTGATCGTCCCCCTCGGGTGGTTCCAGCACGGGGGGGTTTCACCAAACCCCCTGGGGCTGTGGGACCCTGCCTGGCACTGCTCAGCTGAGCCACCCCGACCTGCAGACACCTGTTTGTCTCCCAGCTCCGGGGATGTCCAGGGTTATTTCTTACACATCTGAAGTCAACTTTCTGGGCCAGGCCTCTCTCCTCATCAGGGCTTTCCCCTCCAGCGGTGGCAGCTGTCACATTTTCGGCAGGATTGTAATTTTATTTTTATTTTTTTTTGGAGTCCTTTGAAGATTTATTTTTTTTTTTTTCTAATTTTAACAGCTCATGAACTTCTTTCAGGCTGGGGCTGAGCAACCCTGCCAAGGTCTCTCATTTACTGCCAGTTCTTGCCTCTCCAGAAGGGCTGCACAGACACTCCTGCTGCACTCAGCATTTTACTGCAGCATCTCTCCACTCTTTGACCCCGAAGCACTTCCCTTTCACGGTGTTTGTTGTCACAGCTCTCAGCCAGGGCTGTCACAAGGGTCATACCTTCATCCTCCAGCTCCTCTTGGTGGGGGCTTGGTGTCTGTGGGCACTTGCTGAGAGCAGATCCTTTAGGGTGTATCAGGTGGAATATCCAAGAGTCGCGGTGTCAGTGACTGTGGAGTAAATCCCTCTGTCTTTGAGGGGTTGGAACTTGATGAAAATGGGATGTAGGTTGCCCAGAGAAGCTGTGGCTGCACTGGAAGTGTCCAAGGCCAGGCTGGACAGGGCTTGGAGCAACCTGGTCTGGTGGAACCTGCCCCTACCCATGGCAAGGGGTGGGACTGGATGAGCTTTAAGGTCCCTTCCAATCCCAGACCGTTCCTTATTCTGTGATTCCGGGCCCAGAGCAGAGCCCATCCCTCACACTGCCGTGGCACACACACGTCAGAGCAGGAAACCCACAGGATTTTAAGCCAAGCCTTTAAAGCAAATAAAAGCCCTGTGTGAATACCCTGGCAAAGCAAAACCCGGCCCCACCGCCGGTCGGAAATGCTTCCCCAGGGGTGAGAAACCTTGTCCCCATTCCTGCTTGGGCTGGCCCCTGGTTCCCTCACTGGTTGTCTCTACACCCCACTGGCTGGTTTTTCTGCTCCATCTCTGATAAGCTCCAAGACATGTTTTAATGTGCTTTTCTTCCCCCCCCTCCCTCCCTTTCTCTTTTAAGTTAATCCCTCTCGGTGGTTTCTGACATTGTCAAATGTCTTTTGTGTACTGTTAGAAAACCTCTTGATGTAGCTACAGAGCAGCTGCTAACAAGTTGCCCCTGGGATCCTCCATCTATGAGGCTGTCTGCCTGTATAATGACTTTCAAATAAGTAAATCTATTAATGAGATCTCAGTGGGAGCAGCTCCCTGTCAGAGGACCCACACGCAGAGGCTTCATCCCACTTTGGCCACGATGCAGCATCCAAGTGGAGTGACAGAGAGCTGCTGTCCCCCTGCAGGGGTGAGGGACAGGACCACTTGGATCAGTGGCTGGCGACCTGCAAAGCCCTTTCCTCTTAGTTAAGGGGGAAAACAAGGAGCACGTGGGGATCTGTCACATCCTCCGGACGCAAATTCAATTCTTCCTCCCCGAATCAGCCTTAAAAATGTAAAGCTGATCTTCTGAAATGTCAGTTTTGCCCCAAGATTTAGGAGCTGCTGGCATCCAAGCTCTTCTCCACAGCGTGATCCTAAACCCTCAGCTTTAAAAGCAGGAAATTATGCTGAATTTGCACATGTTCACGTGACTCCAGGAGTCTGAGCATAAAAACCCCAAACCACTGAGTGTTATGTGCTGTAATAACAGGGTCGGAGGAATTCAGCCTGGTCTATGATGGCACGAGATGAAGGGCTGCAGTCAGGCAGGGAAGAGGGTTTTTTGTGTCCACATCCAGCAGATCAGAGCGACACACACTCGTACAGGTGCCACCTCGCTGCCTTTTAGTGGCCATGAACCTCCAGCATGGTTTAGGACTTAACCTAGCAACCCCTCAGCTTGGGGACAAAAGCACCCAGTGAACCACAATGACTCTTTTAATCAAAAAAA